CTCAGTTGTGGGGACTGGCTGTGACTCTCAGTAATTGGGGAAGTGCCTGGGGTCATGGAGAAGTGCTGAGATAAAATGAAGAATTTCCTCTTCCTCAGACACTCCCTTGGTGCTTTCTTATTAACTCTGGGATCTTGGCCTGGGTGGGGGGGAGAAGGGGAAGGTGGCTGTCAGGCTCTCTCAAGCAGTTCACACACAGGGCAGACCTCTCAGAGCTCTGGTCTGCTCTCTAATTAGCTTTCACCAAGTCAGTAACAACTGCTTCAAAGAGACTTTAACTCCAGACTTCAAGGAGAAGCTTCAGAATTGTCATTCATGCTTAAATTTGACAGTTTATGTATGGGTCTAAACAAAGACTCTAATTATCTCACCCATTACAAAGATAGATTCCCCAGTTATCACCCCTAATGTCATTATCTCACAGAAATTTCCCCTATTATCTATGTCGTTACCTCACAGACACTAACTTCCCCTCACGCCCACTCTGTTCTAAAATTTGATTTGTCAATTTCACATGCGTTTATTTTTTGGATTGTATCACTTTGGTCTATATGGTTGAGCTGAGTTTCTTCCACATATTGATCTGAGGAAGTGGGTCTGGCCCACGAAAGCTCATCACCTAATAAACCATCTTGTTAGTCTTTAAAGTGCTACATAGTCCTGTTTTTTGTTTCAGTAACAACTGTGAACTCCTGGGTCAATAGACCAGTGTTACCATGCAGTCCCAGTCTCCTGTCTGACCTGCCACTGGTGGTGCGAGCGACATCTCCTCCCTACCAACATCACACCACATTCAGGTTGTTTCCAGGCCCAGGACACCAGCCACCTACCCCAGAGCCATCGGCACCTAGGTCCTGCATCAGAGTGGTGCCTGCAGGCAGCCCTGGCTAAGGGGTTAGTAACTAGGGGAAGGGTCCAGGTAAAGCAAGCAAACACCTGTGAGCAGGGCTGGTGGGAGAGTGGGGCTCAAAAGGGGCGGTTGTTGCAGGGCCTGGACTTAGAGCGTGGAGATGCTGTCTCAGGCTAGCCGAGGGCTGTGGCTGTCCCCACACCGGCATCTTGTTAGTCTTTAAAGTGCTACATAGTCCTGTTTTTTGTTTCAGTAACAACTGTGAACTCCTGGGTCAATAGACCAGTGTTACCATGCAGTCCCAGTCTCCTGTCTGACCTGCCACTGGTGGTGCGAGCGACATCTCCTCCCTACCAACATCACACCACATTCAGGTTGTTTCCAGGCCCAGGACACCAGCCACCTACCCCAGAGCCATCGGCACCTAGGTCCTGCATCAGAGTGGTGCCTGCAGGCAGCCCTGGCTAAGGGGTTAGTAACTAGGGGAAGGGTCCAGGTAAAGCAAGCAAACACCTGTGAGCAGGGCTGGCGGGAGAGTGGGGCTCAAAAGGGGCAGTTGTTGCAGGGCCTGGTGTTTTAAAAGGGCCTGGGGTGCTGCTACACAGGGAGCTGCAATGGCTGGAGCTCCAAGCCCTTTAAAGTGCCCCTGGAGCCCTGCCCTGCCGTGGCATGGGCAGGACTGGACTGGACTGGGCTGGGCTGAAGGAGGCTAGTTTCCACCCTGCCCCCTGTGCCTGAGGCCTTGCCTCTTCCGGGGACCAGAGCCAACCCCTCCCTGCCCATGTCCTGGGTCCCAGCAATTCTATCAGCAGCCCTGTCACTGAGTTACCATCTAATTCCCCGGAGTGACCTGTTCAGGGACGCCCCAGCAAGCAGTCCCCGGGGATCTCTGGCTTCCTACTAGAGTCTCTGGCCCTTCCCAGTTCAAAAAAAGGTGCCATTTCTTCCTGCCAGGCATTTTCATTCCCTTCCCCCAGAGTCCAAGATGGTGGAACGAGTTCATGGCCCGTCTCCTCGTCATGGGGGCGGGATGTGAGGGGGTGGAAACAATCTGTAAAACCTTTTGTCCTTTGATCCTTTGTTGTGCCCCAACCATTTCTCTGGTGTAGGCCCTTAAAAAACAACCAGTGGTCCTGCAGCTGTAACTCCAACTCTGAGTGGGTGTGGTCCACTGTCTAATGTAGTGGCACTTAGACCACTTACAGCAAGCGCTAAGAATGATTTCTACAGCCTGAACTGAGAGCCCCGGCTTTATAGCTTCAACTCTTACACTAAGCTCCAGAGGTCCCAGGTTTGAATCTTCTCTGTGGTGGTTACAGAGCACCTTAGGGTACGTCTACACTACAACGTTAATTCGAACTAAGCTAATTTGAACTAACGGATCCAGACTAAAAAACTAGTTCGAATTAGTATTTTGGTGGACGAGGTCCACGATGTCCGCACTAGCCCAGGAGGGAGCCCGCCTTTTGCGGTCCCGGGCAAGCTCCCAGGACCCGCCAGCCTGGTCCCGGGAAGAGGGGGAGGGCTGGGGGGCATCGGGTGGGTGGCTCGATCCGCACCAGGTGCAGGGTCTGCCTGCTGGGTGCTGGCAGGCTTGCACCTGGCATGGGCACCGTAGCCATCCCGTGCCCCTTTAAGGGGTCCGGGGCCGGGAGGGGGGCACCAGGGAAACCTGGGGAGGGCTAGCCTCCCACTAGTTCGAATTAAGGGGCTACACAGCCCTTAATTCGAACTAATAAGTTTGAACTAGGCTTAATCCTTGTGGAATGAGGATTACTTAGTTCAAACTAAGGTCTCCGTTAGTTCGAATTTAGTAGCGCCTATGAAAGTTAGTGTGTAGCGCCTATGAAAGTTAGTTGGAA